TAGTCTATTGAATTGATACTAAACAAGTATTCTTTTTTCTTCCTTTCTTTTCTGTTGTCCTTGATGGTATGCATCTCATTAAAAAGTTTTAAATGAACTACAAAAAAAAGAAATTTTTTTACCATTAATAGTTCGAAATCTTGTGGATTTTCGTCACTCGGTTGTAATGTTATAAGCATTTCACCAAATACTTCAGCATTTGTTTGTACAATATCTAATTCACTACGTAATTTTGCTATTTGTTCAGCTGACATTGACTGTGCACCTGTTTGATTGTTTGAAACGGAATGTGAAAAATCATTTGATGCTGACCGATTCTATTAACAAAATCAAATCATTGTATAATTAATTTTCAAACAAATAAATTCTTACTTGTCCACCCATTGTTCCATAACTTTGTTGAGGCTAGAAAATAAATTATTAATAAAATTTATTCAAATAAATGAATCTTACCATAGAACGTGTACTTTGTAAAGGTCGTTCGATAGTTCGCTAAATATTCACAAAATTAAAATATTTTTTATTTTATTAAAATTAAAATTTACTGTAGGTGTTAAAGATGCTTTAATAATATCTTCTGGTTCATGTGATGGAAATTGTAAACCATGTTGTACACATTCACTATAAAAATGTTGGACATTTTTTAAATCTGGATCGTTACGAAAAGCTAATGCCCAGTTCTGAAAAAGAAAAAAAAAAGAATAGATTCTCTTATCTATTTTCTGTTTCATAATTTCAAATTTCTTACTTGAATCATACTAAGAACTCTTTCTTGTATTGCTAGAGGTGGATTATTTTTTGGTCCAATAACTCCTTTAAGTTCTTTTAAAAAATCTTTATGTGCAATTTGTAAATGAAATATTTTTCCACAATTTTTTGTTAAGGCTTCTAATAACTAAATGAAAACATAAAGAATTTTTATTTTATTTTATAATATCAATAGAATAATATACAGAAAGAATTAATCCAATAGTATGCCATCCTTGTTGTAATGGATTTATTTGTAAACGTTTTCGTATGACTTTCATTGCTTCTTTTGCACTATTTATAATAAATATATGTGAAAAGAAAATAACATTAAGGAAAATCTACCTTTCTTCATGACTATTAACATAATCACAAATTTTCATTATTAAACTCCAATCTTCACTTGCTTGACTACTATCAGTAGCTCTTTCAATAGCTTGTTGAAGACCTGTTGGATGTGTACTGCTGCGGAAGATATTCGTCATGTTTAATCTATCAAAATGAGTTAAACAGTTATTTGATCTATTCAATCAAATGTATTAACATAGCAAATAATTCAAACGCCCTAACAATATCCCACAAGTAGTGGGTGCAATAATAAGAACGCGAAGAAAAAAAAAAAGAAGAAATAAGAAAAAAAAGGCAAAGGACGTCCTCGTCATAAAAAGAAAAACGAGATGCCAATACAGGAAATCAACGTAGGATCTACGAATTAAAAGGAGCAATAAAATGACTATAAATATTATAACAAGAATGATCGAAGAAAAAAAAAACAGAAAAAAAGAAACATATGACATAGAAAAATAAGAAAGAAACACTGAAGCGGATCATAAGGAAGCACTTATAAGTAGTATAGGATTGGTCAACTATTTTAAACCAATTAAATAAATAAAATGAAGACGCTAGTTTTCGATAAGTTATATTGAATAAACAAATTAGTAAATGATAATATTTATGATAAAACTATATTTTCTATTAGAATCTGACTGATTTCAATCAAGTTCTCTAATCATATAACATTTATTTAAAGTTCGTTTGTTTCTACTTTAAAAAAAAGTATTTGCATATCAATCATCATAGCGTAGAACAAGCAAAACATCTTGTATAAATTATTTAATGTCATTTGAGTAAAGTCTTGTTTTTTTTACAGAGAATGCATCTTATCGTACAATCTAAATGTATATATTACTTTAGAATTAAAATTCTTGTGTCAATAAGAAAGCAAATATTTTTTTTCACTATTTGTAGAGAGTATTAGTTTTTTATTTTGTTGCAATTCTGCACTTCCTAGAATGTTCATAGAAGAATACAAATAGTAATCAACGTTCTTGGACGTATTCAGTATAGATTTTTTTATCAGTCAGGTAAAATCCTTGTGGCAAGAAAAGAAAAAGAAATCCTGTTCAATCGTTAAGACAAACTCTGCGAGATGTCTTTGTGACCATGTATCTATATATATTTTAATATTTGTACATTATTTATTCATTTTTTACACAACGATAATGAATATTTATTATGTTCCATTGAACGAAGAAAAGATATTCTTTTTTAAATAATATAAAAGCTTTATGTCAATATTAGATTAAAAGTGAAAATATTGAATAATAAAGATGCATTTATTGACCTATATTAGTGAGTTAAATTATAGTTGATTTTATAATTTAAAAAACAAACACTTAGCGATAGATCAATCTTTATCGATTTCATACGATATAATAAGTTAGTTTTCTATATTTTATGAAATTATAGTGCGGTTAACAAATAAGTAAATATCTGTTTCTCAACGATGATAGTTAGAACAAATTAGAATAAATATTTGAGTAGTTGACAATAGTTTCCATTTAATGAAATGTTCTTTCTGTTGTCCTTAAAAATTTTTATCTTTGTGGAAAATTCTTCAAAAAGACGAAGAATTCTCAAAAATTTAGAAAACAAATTTTTAATAGAAAAACTCTTCTTCTTATATGATATCTTTATTCCAATTTGTTCTACCTATAGTTGCTAAGAAAATATATCAAAAACATAACTATGTGATTAAGTCTCTTTGAGATATAGAAATTTCAGTATGTAGGTCGTTTCGCATAGATAGTAGATATAGCAAAGTATTTTTTTCAAAAGTTTCAAAACAAAGTCATAGATACAAACTCTTTTCCTAGCAAGCATAGTTCACTAAGTCTTGCCTAAAACATCGATCTGACATCTGAAAATTCTTCCTCTTAAGTTATACAAAAACATCAGAAAATCTCATATTGAACAAGATCGATTGAAATTTAATCATAAAACATTAGTCAATGAACAGGCGAACGATAGTACATGCAGATTCTTTGGACAACATTAAAGAATTGATTGAAACTAATATAACTGCGTTTAATATAAACTCTAAATCTTGAATAATGTGTTTTGCAATTCATTTGATGGTCAATAGTTTCATTGAAATGGGAATAACTTAATTTCAAGCAATTCATAGCATGATTATGCAAATGAATGTATACCGAAAAACAGAAGTAATACTTAATGTCAAGTAAGTCTTGGAAATGATTTTCAATATGAATATACAGAAAACGAACAATAAAACCATACCATTGGACTTAGTCGATGAGTATATTAATATTAATAGAATCAAAACGAAAATGTTACATCAGGTAATAGCCGACTTCGAAAGAGAATAAAACATCTAATAGTATGCTGAGTATACCAAAAGGATTAGCAACTCTACTTGAATTCTTTATAAAAAGCTTAAAGAAACTTTCTTTCAATATAATCTGATAGTAAAAACCAATGTTCTATTATTTTATGATATTTTATCATTCTTAGACTAATATCATAAAAATATAATTATAAAAAGACCTGTTTCGACATAATGCGTATTTTTTTTTCACTTTGTTCTTCTTCTTTCTTTTTTCTCGTACCTTTTAATACTTAACTATCTACATAGACTTACGTATATATGTATTGTAAAGCCGCATGTCTTATTTGCATGTGTAATTTATTAGCATATTCTGAAGAAAGTTAAAACAAATAGAATTAGATTAAATATTGATACTCATCATCTCTGTTTTACATGAATAAGAAAAATTTTCACTTCTAGATTAAAGTATGCACTATCCTTAGTATTCAACAAAAATTTATTCATAATGAATTATGTTCTATTTGTGATGATGAAGTTTCTTTTTTCTTTTTTTATTTTTAACACAGTTGAATGATGATTTAAATGTATTCGTGATGGTCAATAAGAGACTAAACACGAAGCATAATCTGCTTACTTTTATATTTCGTTATTGTTCTGCAGACACTACTTTTTTGTATATCCTAACATATATCGACAGCTGTGCATTAGAGTGAATAACAAGATGAAAAGAGAATGTATATTAACGACAATATAAACTAAGTTAACCGTCACGCATTATAACCAAATAAATCTCATTGAAATTTGATTATTATGATATTGGCTGAAAAAAAACGAATTTATAGTTTATTGAAAGTTTTACATAATAAACAGTAACTATTCCAAATAGATAGTTTCTATCAGTGAGTTATAAATGACTATTTAAAAGCAAAAATAAACTAATATCTGATTGATACCTACGACAACAAGAATTTTTTTAACAATGAATTTCTTTTTTCAATATGTATCACTGATAAAAACAATGCTTCACATCAAATTCATAATCAAACAATTAAAATTATCCCAAATACGATAACAACAACAACAAAAAAAAACAAACAAACAATGTAAATCTAAACTTATTGTTTTAAATTTTTCATCAATTTAAAATGTCTAAACGATTCTCGAAAATTCCAACGATGTTATTGTAACCAATTATTATCATAACATATTACATGAAATATCTAATAGTTAATAATACTAACTTTTTTTTTAAAACTATACCTGTATGTTCGTTAATACAAAAAAAAATACAGAAAAAAAAAATGAAAGTTCAACAAAAACACAATTAAATGTGTATATATATACGTCAAGAAAACGAACATTCTTTTTCTTTTTGTAGAATAGTTTATTCTTGTAAGAATTCTACATAATTGAACATGCTGATGAATTGAATGGATTGACAGCACCTCTGAAAAAAGAAAATGAAATTATGATGTGTTTTTAAATCAATAAATTTCTTTAGCGAACACGCAACAAGCTAAAGCAAAAAAATGCATTCAATATGACAGATAGCCTTGCTGGATAAAAGCAATCTTAGCAAGGATGATTAATCATTCAAGCACGAGATAATATCTTACTCAAATATTTATGGTGAGAGAGGACGATAAGGACCAGTCGATGGACCTTTTATACCTGATCCACTTGTTGAACCAGTATAAGTAGGTCGAGAATAGTTAAGTCCTATTGAAGATGGTTGAACATATGATGTTGATGATATAGGTGGAAGGGAAGATCCACTCGGTCTAGTGTCTGAAGCAAAAATATTTGCTGATGTATATGGATTAGTTTGACTTCTAGGTGTTGTAGAAGTCAAAGATAGTATTGGTCTTTGACGTAAAGTTTCTTGTCGTAAACTCTTTTCTAATTGAGCACGTTGTTGCTCAATATTTTCTTGAATATCATTAAAATCTTGAAGATTTGATGGATAACCACCTGCACGTGGAAGTAAACCAGGGGTTAATAATGTTGGTGTTTGTGATGGCTGAAATGGAATAAGTAAACCATCTGGTGTCAATGGTACAATTGGCAATGATGCCGATTGTTCTATACCATTAGCTAGTAGTAAACTACAAACATCAAATGCTTTTTTTTTTCTTATAATATATATATATATATATCTTATTAAATGATTAGGTAAAGCATAATTTCATTGCATAGATAGTATAATACATCGGTGATTAAAAAGAGCTGAAAAAATGAACTAAAAATTACTTTGGATTTGCAGCTGCAGGTGTTCCAACTGTAGATTGCATTAACTGAAGACCACCGCAACTATCCGATGCGGCTGATGGAATGGGTAAGCCAGTTCGTCCAGCAACAGTCTGGAAGTTATGAATAAATAATTAGATTAGATGTCAATATTATAGGTTTTACTCGTATAAGTGCATGACGAAACATATTTGGTGCTTGTGATTGTGTTCCTTGTATAGCTGGAATAATACGTGATGGTGCATAAGATGGTTGACTTAATGCTACTACAGGTTGATTTGTCATAGCCATTGGTTGACCTTGAATTGATACAACAGCTGGATCATATGGACGTTGATAAAGAATTTGTGGACTAGCTAGAAAACGATCAAACAATAAATTTTTTTATGATTCTTATTGATAATTAGTTAAATTTAACTTACAATTAAATAAATAGCAAAAATCAAAAAAAAAAAAAAAGATTTTCATTAGTAGTCTAAATATAACCATCACCAAAAATATAAATTATTTAATTTAACTACCTGCGACGGTTGGATTTGGTACTATAAAATTATGAAGTTTTTTGTTTTTGTTTAAATGACTAGAGAATAAAGAGAAAGAAATCTACTTTGAATAGTTTGAAGAACAGGTGGAGTTTGAATAATTTGTGGTGTTGCTGAAGCAATTTGTAAAACTTGTCCAGATTGTGATTGTGGACTTTGAATGAATTGTAATGGTTGTGGTTGTTGAATAACTTGTATTGGTTGAGGTTGTTGAATAACTTGTAATGATTGTGGATGTTGAATAATTTGAAATGGTTGAGGTTGAGGTTGACACTGTGGTTGTTGAATAATAACATTTGATGTACGTTGAAGTTGTGATTGTGGTAAAGTAAAAAGAGATGGTGTAGTTGTATTTGTTGGTAAAGAATTAAAAACAGGTATTTGATTAATTATTGTTGGTTGTATTGTTGATAAATTATCAAGACAAACAAATTGTTGTTGTTGTTGTGGGAATGGTGATGATATAGGTTGTTGAATAATATTATGATTATTTGATGCACAGATATAATCTTGTTGATTTGAATCAGTACAATAAACTATTTGTGATGGTTGTTGTTGTTGTTGTTGTTGTAATGGTGAAAGACAAATCGATGGTTCAGTTTGATGAAGGATCTAAAGAAAACGAAAGTTAACATTTATATTGTAAAACTAAAAAAATAGATTATATGTAAAGCATGAGTATGTAAAAGCAAAAAAAAAATTTTTCTTTTTCAATGCAGCGAACTTATTTATCCTACACAAGAATCTGAAACACAATTGATATTTGATGGCGAATAAGAACAACAATCATCTATAATATAGATTCGTTTAATTTCTTATATACAATGAGTCTTAATAGATGATTTACGATTCATTAATAAACGAGATTGAGCACAAGTACACGAGGGATAATGGCCAGTTTGTGTTCCATGTAAACATGGTATTTGATGAGAAATTATTTTGCTTTCAATAGACTGTAAAGGAATGTTTTGTTGTCTAATATTCTATAGAATAATTAATGAATGAATGAAATTTGAAGAGGTTGTATAATAATAATAAAAAGAATGTATGAAAAGACCACAAAAACAAAATTATTTATTAACTTACTGCATCTTGATCGTGATTAAAAAATAATTGTTGAGAAATTCCATCAGTTACTATTGATTGTGGTTGTTGTTGTTGTTGTTGTTGTTGAAAATTAGCATCACGATAAACAATAAAAGGTGCTTGTTGATCATCAACGAAAGCTGTTTCATGTTGCGTATCATAAGGTACAGTAGCTAAACGATTAGTAGTATCAACTGGATAACTTTCACCACTAGGAACTTCACGATAGACAACCATTGGTTGTTGTTGTTGTTGATCTTGTTCAATATATTGTGAATTAGTAACCATCATTTTTGATGGAGAAATTAATGTTTGATTCGGTCGATTTCTAATTGATTCAGCACTTTTAGCACGATACCGTCGATTATGATGATGATGATGATGGTGATGATGATGTTTATCGCCACGATGATGATGATGATGTTTATGTTTATGAGTTCGTTTTGATGTTGATGATGTACTTTCAAATGATGAATTTTTTATAGATTTTTCAACGGGCCATATTTTTGTTTGACCATTTGTTAGAACAGTTGGTACCTATGAAAATAAAAATACTTTTTAATTTATCAAATTATGTTCAATATAAATAAAATAAAGCAAACATAAGAAAGCTTACAGCAAAAAAAGATGAATTTTGTCTTGATATCATAGATGGTTGCATAGCTCGTGTATCAATATTTGTCTGTTAGAAGCAAAAGCATGTATGTGCATACATACATCAAAAATTATTTACTTACTGTTGATGATGATAATGGTTGTGGTGGTACATCCACATTTATATACATATGTGGAATAGCTTCAACTCTTTCGAGATGTTTAACTAAATAAATGTAAATGATTCTGTATATAAGAAAACGTATTTAAATAAAAATAAATATTTACGTTGATCTTGTTCGTTGCCTAGGACTGTTGCTAATTTCATAATTGGTAAATTTGAATTTATTGAAGGTTGATTTGATGCCCATGAAGAATATTTTCGTGACATGATTATACTGTTTCTTTTTTGTTAAAATAAATCAAAAAATACAGTTCATTTATACAAAATTTACTTGTAAAAGATGTTATATTTAAATATCTATAAAATATAAAAAAAAGAAAAGAAAAGAAAAGAAATATGAAAGTATATGACGAAGGTTATATAGGCGTTAACATAAGAATAATGTAAAAAAAAAATCGGAGTAATTGTATGAACAACAAACTGCATTAGTACATAGGAGAAAAAAAGAGTGATCAAGGATGATGATAAAAAGTAAATAAAAACTTTCTTTTTTCTTTTTCTTCTTGTTTCATTTTGTCGAAGAGAAATATTACCTTGTATTACTGATAATAAATGATCAGCAATTTAATGAATGACATTGAAAAAAAACCTATATATGTACAATACTTCTATGAATATATGTATGAAATAAAGAATTTTATTTTCAATTAATTTACAAGGAAAGTTTCGATATTGACTAATTGCTCTTCAATGGAAATAATAACATCAGTTATTTCGATCATAATAAGTTATGAATAATCTGACAAAAAAGAAATTCATGCTATGTTGGATCTTATGATTTCATCGTATCTTGAAATAAGATCACCGAGTTCTATCACTAGAGAATTGCATCGGACTTAACTAAATGTCTCTCATTGATAAATCAGATTAAGTACAAGAGATGTTGTTTTTTTTTGAATTGTAAACTTCTATCCTTTGAATTTTTACTTTATAAAATGATATGTTTTTTAAGAAAATTCGATTGATATCTCTTCAAGATCTATACAATAAATATCAAAGAATAAAAATTCATCATTCAAAAATGTTTCTTGAAATTTTGTAATCTAATCTATTGATTGGCAATTCAGAGAACTTTGATACTGATCTCAATCTACCACTTATGTATATATAAACAATGTAAAAGATACGACTTATAAGATACGAACAAAGAAAAAAATGTGAAACTTTCACAATTAATGAAAACTAGTTCTTTCGCTTCTTCTAATAGAGACGATACTAGCTTTAATTATAAAGAAAAAAAAATCGTAAAAAAATGCGGTATCTCAGTAATAATAAGCTAACAGCAGATATTTCATTCCTGGTATTTTGTAACTCATTAGAACCTATATTATGGATATTGTCCTAACTCAAAGGTAACTAATCAGTTGGGGGACTTTCCTCGTTAGTATTGAGCTTACCGCTTGTTTAACTGTGTTTATTCATTCGTCACTTTTATATATGAGTGAGCATATAATGAACGTTGAAATGATATTCATCTTACGTATGGTGCATCGTTAACTTATGTGTTGATATAAAAACATAAATGTCGTCGACAATGTATAAGGGTATATTCTTACTTCTTCTTGTTCTGCTTCATACTATTCACCTATCAACGCCCCTAGTTAAGTGAACGAAAGAAAAAAGAAAAGCGAAATTGAGTGACGAAAATATTCTTCATCTGCTCAATATAAAAATTATCAATACTACGTAAGAGCGTTCATCCGATGAAACGATAGTGACCTATCGTCTGGTCTTTTCGTCTTTCTCATCGATCAAATTTTGTCATATTGATAATATATATAAAACAAAAAAAGAAGCGAGAATAAGTCCAAAAACAAGAAAATATACATATATATACAAATAAATATTCTACTTAATGTATGCATAACTAGCAAGAATATTTGATTTATTCGATTTAGTAGTTTCTCATTCGGAAATGTATTTGTTAATTAGAACAAAGAAAAACATGAATTCACAAAATGTGATGGAGCATTTTTTTTCTTCTTCTTCTTTCTTTGTTGATTGTCGGCGCAAAAAAATAAAAATAAAAAGGAAATGAATGTAGAGATAAAGTATGTTTGACATCGGGTTTCTGTCAGATATTTATTCACATTAGTAGCAATGGTCTCATTCCAAAAAACAAAATAAAATAAAATCTATAGTTTATAAATAATAAAAATGAATCGTTCATTATCAATTGACGAAAAACATCTTGTACATGTTATTCATTTAACAAATGGTATATTTCCATTATTTATTTTACCATTAGCAACAACTGGTAATTCACTTTGTTTTCTTGTATTTTGTCGACCTAAATTTCAAAAACGTTTAACACGAACATCATCATTATGTATACGTTTATTATGTGTAAATGATTTAATTTTATTATATTTATTTACAATTGATGTTCTATTAAAAATTTATGCAAAACCATCAATACGTATTTATTCAACACCAACAACATGTCGTTTATATAAATGTATACGTTATTCAATATTAGATTTTTCTGCTTATTTACAATTAGGTTTAACAACAGATCGTTTTATTTGTTGTGTTTATCATATATATTATTCACGTTGGTGTAAACGAAATTATTTATATTATTTATTAACAATTGCATTTTTATTTATATTTATAAAAAATTCATCATTTTTATCAAAATCCTATGGTTATTCAATAGATAATAATAATCATACTAGTGTTAAATGTTCAGTTAAAATTAAAGAAGTCAATTTTGCAATGTATATGGCATATGGACAATCATTAATTGATGTTATTTTTATAACTTGTTTACCATTTTTTCTTATACTATATTTTAATTCACGTATATTAAGAGAAGTTTTACGTTCACGTACAGAATGTTGGAGTACATTAACAAAATTAATGCATATAACACCAGATCAAACTGAAAGTGCGATTATAATTTCAACAGATAGGATACCATCACGATCAACAACAACAACAACAACAACAATTATTTTAAAACGTCATCATGCAAGACATCGACGTTTACATTTAACATTTGCACTTGGTTGTATATCATTTATATTTATATTTAGTACGGCACCATATAAAATATTTAAAATTGTCGAAAGACATGATAAAGTAATACGTGATCAATATAGGAGTGGTGTACCTAAATCAGTTCATATGCAATTAGCTGAAGTTATTATTGATTGTTTTGTATATTTATCATGTTCAACACCATTTTTTGTTTGTTTTGCTACATCAAGTATGTTTCGTGATGAATTACGTCGAATATTTCAATAAAAAATAAATAAATATATATTGTTTTGTGTATATATTAGTAGTTGTTTTTTCTTTTTTCTTTGACATTGAAAGACAAAGTGCAAAAGAACATATTAAAATCATTGGCAATTATGTTTGTTGTCTAAACCAGCGAAAAGAAAATTATATTTTTGCTTTTAAATATAATCTTTGACATTGTTGTCAGTTCAGTATATGATATTTCTGTTTATGTGTTAACTAGACAGACAATGTCGGAGAAAATTGAAATCATTTTTAATGAGTTACATAGAATGATGACAACGTCGTTATCATGATTGCATACGGAATATGTTTTTGTTCAGCACTTTTATTATGAAGAAATTAGAAAAATTTGAAGCAATATGGCATTTTATAGTGTTGATTTTTTTTATTGATTGGTAGTGGTGATGTGTACCTTTTATTGTTAATAAAATGTGAACACTATTAAAGAGATTTTTATCATACGAGTTCATCTAACAATATATATTATATGTATTGATTTAAAAAGATAAGCAATGACGGGTGATAAATAATGATATGAATGAACTCGTGACTAATTTTAAAAGAGTAAATGACAATGCATCAATATGAAACTTGTTATATTGATCAAGTTTCTGTATATAAAAATATCTCACTTTTAATTTCTTTTAAGGTTATAATCAATTTATTGTCTGAATACATCGAATAGACAAGAGATTTAAGATCATAGTGCTGATGTAAGGGTGTGAATAGATTGAGGACAATGTGATAAAACAATCAATATTTCTCTAGATCTCATTTTATTCATGAGTTTATCAGTAACTCTCAATTCTATATCATTGAAACAGCTTGATAGAATAGTTTTGGCAAAAGTTCATACCAAAAATATAAAACAACTTATAGCGAAAACAGAACGATTAGTAATTTGATGTGAATTCGATCATTATTCATTGTTCTATCGTACATGACGTGAAATGAACTTTGACTATTGTCCATTTCAAAGTTAAATGATCGGGGGCATTTTTTGAATAACTTTTGGTAGGAACAAGATAGAGATTATGCGATTTTCACCGTTTGAAAGAGCAGATGAAGACGCATGGAATAATATATAGAAAGATTTTTCTAACTACTTTTCTAAAGGTTTAGTCAAACATTTTCAAAGAATTGCTTTTTTCTTCTACGTAAAAAAAGTGACTTCTCTATCAAAATACTACAACAATTTACATGTTTCGATTATTTTGTTGAGAAAATGAGGTGGTAAATTGTGTTCTGATGGTTTGGATATCATACTGGTCGTAGTTAGGAACAAAGTCTCCATACAGTTTTATAGCTCTTCATTTTCCGACTCTAGCACACTCCTGAAAATCAATAAATTAATATCGAGACCATGAGAAGCATGCTGTTTTTCTTGAAGTTTTATGTAAAACCTATTGGAAAGTAGCTAAAAAAATCTTTCTATATATAATTCGATGCCTCTTCATCTGCTCTATCCAACGGTGAAAACCATAGATCTCTATCGCGTTCCTAGCAAAAGTTATTCAAAAAGTGTCCACGGCCATTTAACTCTAAAATGAACAATAGGTTAGAATGGTTTGAATACACGAAATAAATGAAAATTTTACTACAATCAGAGCTGAATATCTTGAGAAAAGTGGAAATTTGAAAGGTATGGATCATGTACTGATATGATTCCTTAGTATGAAAACATAACTGGAATTACATACTTCAAATTTTATAATTGATAGAAAGATTGGCTTTCATGACTTGAAAATTCAATGATCTTATTTCAAGGAATATCGAACAATTAAAGCAAAAACAATTGCACGACAATATTAAATTTGTTTGTTTCATAGTTTGATGCCAGTCTTCTCGAATCATGTTTATTAATTACTCATGCAAACAAGATTTTATTGAACTAACTGAATACGAAGCGATTAAACAATCGCTGCTGTATGTGACTAGAGAGATAAATCTAATCATCC